AGAACGAGAACAACCAGCAGCGGTGTGCACTTACATGGCCCGCAGTAGTCAACCTCTCTCTCTCTCAGGCAGACATACACTGCGTTAGAGGGCGGTTGGCTACGGCGGGCCGTTGGGACAACAACCAGCATCGGTACACACTGACATGACACGCAGTAGTCAATCTCACCCAAATGGAAAAAAAAAAAAAAAAAGTGGCACCAGCGCGAGGTTGACTACTGCGGGCCAGAACGAGAACAACCAGCAGCGGTGTACACTTACATGGCCCGTAGTAGTCAACCTCGCCCATACAGGCAGACATACACTGCATTAGAGGGCGGTTGGCTACTGGGGGCCATCGGGACAACAACCAGCATCGGTACACACTGACATGGCATGCCATAGTCAACCTCACCCAGCTGGAAAAACAGAAAAAAATGTGGCACCAGCGACAGGTTGACGAGTGCGGGCCAGAACGAGAACAACTAGCAGCGGTGCACACTTACATGGCCCGCAGTAGTCAACCTCGCCCATACAGGCAAACATACACTGTGTTCCGGATGTAGTTGGCTACTGCAGACCATTGGGACAACAACCAGCATCGGTACAGATTGACATGGCACGTAGTAGTCAACCTCACCCAGCTGGGAAAACAGAAAAAAATGTGGCACCAGCGACAGGTTGACTACTGCGGGCCAGAATGAGAACAACCAGCAGTGGTGTACACTTACATGGCCCGCAGTAGTCAACCTCGCCCATACAGGCAAACATACACTGCGTTCCGGATGTAGTTGGCTACTGCGGGCCATTGGGACAACAACCAGCATCGGTACAGACTGACATGGCACGCAGTAGTCAACCTCACCCACCTGGGAAAACAGAAAAAAATATGGCACCAGCGACAGGTTGACTACTGCGGGCCAGAACGAGAACAAGCAGCGGTGTACACTTACATGGCCCGCAGTAGTCAACCTCGCCCATACAGGCAAACATACACTGCGTTCCGGATGCAGTTGGCTACTGCGGGCCATTGGTACAACAACCAACATCGGTATTGACTGACATGGCACGCAGTAGTCAACCACACCCACCTGGAAAAACAGAAAAAAATGTGGCACCAGCGACAGGTTGACTACTGCGGGTCAGAACGAGAACAACCAGCAGCGGTGTACACTTACATGGCCCGCAGTTGTCAACCTCGCCCATACAGGCAAACATACACTGCGTTCCGGATGCAGTTGGCTACTGCGGGCCATTAGGACAACAACCAGCATCGGTACAGACTGACATGGCACGCAGTAGTCAACCTCACCCACCTGGGAAAACAGAAAAAAATGTGGCACCAGCGACAGGTTGACTACTGCGGGCCAGAACGAGAACAACCAGCAGCGGTGTACACTTACATGGCCCGCAGTAGTCAACCTCGCCCATACAGGCAAACATACACTGCGTTCCGGATGTAGTTGGCTACTGCGGGCCATTTGGACAACAACCAGCATCGGTACAGACTGACATGGCACGCAGTAGTTAACCTCACCCACCTGGGAAAACAGAAAAAAATGTGGCACCAGCGACAGGTTGACTACTGCAGGCCAGAACGAGAACAACCATCAGCGGTGTACACTTACATGGCCCGCAGTAGCCAACCTCGCCCATACAGGAAGAGATACACTGCGTTAGAGGACGGTTGGCTACTGCGGGTCATCGGGACAACAACCAGCATCGGTACACACTGACATGGCACGCGGCAGTCAACCTCACCCAGCTGGAAAAATAGAAAAACATGTGGCACCAGCGACAGGTTGACTACTGCGGGCCAGAACGACAATAATCAGCAGCGGTGTATACTTACATGACCCGCAGTAGTTAGCCTCGTGCAGACAGGTATACATACACTGGACAGACAGACAGGTTGGCTATTGCGGGCCAATGGGACAACAACCACCAATGGTACACAGTCATGGCACGCAGTAGTCAACCTCTTGCAGCTTGGAAAACAACACTCGCAGAATCGACACGTTCACAAGTCAGCGATGCAACACGACGCCGAACGTGACATGCGAGACCAGAATTGGCCTGCGAGGGGGACAACTTCGTGCTGTCGGACAAGTAGACATGCGCCGACAGAGGGTCATTCAGTGTTGCGGCCCACTAGCCAACCTCAAGTATGTGAAAACCAGACATAGGTACACACAGATAGAAAGAGAGAGAGAGAGAGAGAGAGAGAGAGATCACGCTTCCCTGACGACCCACGCTGCCACAATTTGACATCTTCTGTACAGAGTTTTCAAGCGCTCATGGATGTCAAGTCCTTTCCTGCAATATTCACATTTTTTTTCCGCTCCATGATGGTCCGCGTTCAGTAACACCGGTCCCATTATCTCTTTGATATATGAAATTATATGGGAAAAACAGTCCGCGACCGGCATGGCCATTTGTCGAGAGTTTGCGTCAACAACGAAATTTTCAAAAATTTGCGTCGTCATAGGCAGTACAGAAGCTTCAGGTCCGGCCGAAGGTGCTTTGCTGGCAAGCACGCAGGGGAAGTTGTGACGCACGTGGTGAGATTTCAGTGCGGCAACATCACTGCACGCCAACAGGACGTGTGGCGCAGGCGCATCCTTCCCAAGAGTGGCCCCATTTTCCGAACACACTCTAATTGGTCTGTCAGCTTCTTCTCTTCCCTTCTTCGTTTCACCTTCTCCACATCCCATAACATCTCCTTCCATACATGTCACCGTCAGTTCTCCAGCCAACAACCTGCCTCGAGTGTGTTGCAGGGCATCCATTACGTYTTCRCAACTGCTCAGCAGARACGCGATTTTTGCAGGAAGCTCGTCATTAACAGACCCKACACCCAYTTCACTCAGACYGTACTCCTCGACGGTTTCCGTACAGTGGCGAATGCAGTCCTCGGYGAAGGCTAAGAGRTCAACGACGCTGCKTGYCGTCGTAGGTAGCGAACCTGTGTTGTAATCTTGGCTATTGTACGATGCCCACCCCTCCTTCAGCACACACKTTCCGCAGCTGGCAAGACACATGACATCCCCTCCGTCTGACTCCCCGTTTGTTGTCTTCGTGACGTGGGCRGAGAATCGCTTCAAGACTGCGGTGCGCCTTTCCCTTTCAATATCCAGCCATGCCTGAAACTYGTCGAACGTGGTGTTCTTCGTTTCAGCAATTGCCTGAAGTCTGGCTGACATGTCCTCCCTCAGACGAGTAACGTCTATATCTTTCATGTTSTCAAGCAACAACCAGAACACGGTGAACATCCTGTGCTCYGCAGTTTCTGTCATTTCGTCGAGGAGCGACTTAAGGCGGCGTAGTTCGTCTGACATCTCTCTAAGCAGTACTTTCTGCTTATGCACCTCCTCTGTTAGCCTGCCTATATGTTCTCGGTCGCTAACTACAGTCCGACCCCTGTTTCGATCCGTTTCAAGTGTCTTATGGTCCTTGCCGCGTGGGGGAAGGAACTCATCCATCCTTGCATGACACTCTCCGCCCAGCTTTCTTTTTTGTCTGGTCGTAGTGAACCTTGACATCTGGAAAGCATTGTATATACAGAGAAATACGTGGACACAGCAAGAGAGAGAGAGACAAAGACAGAGAGGGAACCTCACTTCTTCCGTACAATGGCGTCAACGGGGACCTACCAAACACTCTCTATGTGTAAATGTAATGTGGCAACACTAGTATTTACTACTCAACATCTGCGTCCCCCCCCGTACATGAGTCCATACATCACTGAACAACATGGCACAACTCCGACATGGCGGACCTTATTTCGAAACGCAAGCGTCAGAACCAGGAATTAAGCAAGACATGAACGCCAGAACGCATGCAAGTAAACACATATAAAACGACTGCGACAGAGACACAGAGAGAAAGCCCTATTCCGGACCCAGAGATAGAGACAGTCGCCACGAACAAAGAAACTGTTGGATGGTCCGCCATTCTGATGTTGACCGAAGTTGGCTACTGCGGGCCAAAAATACACATATGCACATCGATGCGTGTGCCGTGGCCCGCAGTAGTCAACCTCTCTCTCTCTCTCTCTCTCTCTCTCTCTCTCTCTCTCTCTCTCTCTATCTCTCTCTCTCTCATTGCTATGAAAAAAGCGAAAGAAATGACAATGTTGCAAAGGGGAAAAAAATAATTACAAAGACGCACCCTCCTTCCTTCTCTCTCCCTATCTTTCTTTCTGTCTTTTTTTCCTTCTTTCCCTCATTCTTTCTTTCTTTCATCCTTCCTTTCTTTCTTTATTTCTCTCTTTTTTAGTTTTTTATTGCTTTCTTTCTTTCTTTCTTTCTTTCTTCCTTTTTTATTTTTTTCCAAAAAACCTTCCAAATCGGTGGGAAGTGTGCAGGAGAGGAAAAAAGAAAGAAAGAAAGAAAGAAAGAAAGAAAGAAAGAAAGAAAGAAGGAACGAAAGTAAGAAAGAAAGGAAGATCGAAAGAAGAGAGAAGAAGAAAAAAAAAAAGATGAAGGACAAGAAGAAGA